TAATCATGATATAGGTGTAGTTCAGGTTTCTTGACATCGTAACTACCTAAAAGCTGGTTGATCGCTAACTGAGAGTCACCAAAGACTTGCAATTGCAACTGCTTTATTTCGATAGTCATTTCAAGCCCATGTATTAATGTTTGATACTCAACAACGTTGTTAGAACAGAGCCGAGTCAAAGTAAAAGTGTGGGGCATAAATTCTCCTTGAGAAGTGACAAATACTATGCCAGCACCAGCTCCTCCGCGATGTGCAGCACCATCAAAGTACATCTTTCATAGAGGTTGAACTTCAATGACTATTACATCCTCATTAGGTAGTTCATCAGTTAGCCCCCAATCATCAGGTATAGAATGGTTTGCCAAGAAGTTTGCTAACATTTGTCCTTTTATAGCCTTTTAAGGGATGTACACAATTTCAAATTGTTGAAGCTGGAGGTACCACCTATCTAGTCGATCACTAAGGATAGGCTTTGACATCATAAACTTTATGGGATTCGCTCTAGAAACAAGACGAATGACATAAGCTTCAAAGCAGTGCTTCAACTTTTTGATTGAGAAGACTAGCGCCAAACATAACTTTTCAATCGCGAATAATTCAGCTCATTTGGTGTCATCATACTGCTCAAGTAGTAAAGGGATTTTTTCCCTTCACTATTTTCTTGGGCAAACAGCGCTCCAGCTGACCTTTCCTGTGCCGAAATATATAATATCAATGGCTTTCTAGGTATAGGGGCTGCCAAAATTGAAGGCTTCATCAAGTAAGTTTTAATACTTTCAAAGGAATTGCTAAAAGCTTGGTCCCACTTGAAAGGAACACCTTTATTCATGAGATGACTGAATGGTTGGCACCTCCCAGCTAGGTTTGAGATAAATCTCCTAAGGTATGCTAACATTCCTTGCAGACTTTTCAATTCATGAATATCCTGAGGCTCAGGCATTTTCAAAATGGCATCCACTTTGGCTTGATCGACTTTGATCCCTCGATGTCAGACAATGAAAGCCAGAAACTTTCCAGAAGTAAATCCAAAGTCACATTTCAATGGATTCATCCTAAGTTGGTACCTCCGGAGCAACTCAAACACCATTCTCAAGTCTTTCAAGTGGTCGCTCATCTTTCTTGATTTTACTACCAAGTCATCAACTTAACATTCGACATTCTTGTGGAGATTGTCATAAAAAATATTCTGCATAGCCCTTTGATAAGTAGCACCAGTGTTCTTCAAGCCAAAAGGTATTACTTTGTCGCAATAAATACTCTTTGGGGTACATAATGCAGTAAGATCTTCATCTTTTGGCACCATACAAATTGGTTATAGCCCGAAGAACCATCCATGAATGACATTGCCTCATACCCAGTGGTAGCGTCAATCATAAGCTCTGGAATAGGAAGTGGAAATTCATCCTTAGGGCATGCATTGTTGAGATCCCTAAAGTCAACACACACTCGATTTTTTCTATTCTTCCTTCTTAGGGGAAAAATACTTGAAACCCATGGTGGATATTTAACTTCACGGATGAAGGCAACTTCAATGAGTTTGTTAACTTCACTTTCAATCAAAGGAACCAAATCCGTCCTAAAGCACATTTGGGCTTGCTTAACAAGACGAGCGTCATTCTTGACTGCAAAGTGATGGACTACTACTTTAAGCTTCAAACCAGGCATCTCTTTGTAACTCAAAGCAAATATATCCTTAAACTCCTTGAGTAACTCAATATAAGTGTTTTCTTAATCAACTTCTAGTAAAGAACTTAGGTAAGCGGGCCTTGGTTCTTCATCAGTGCCAAGGTTAACTTCTTTCAATGCATAAACTGTTGTCTTCACTCCGTCTTCAAGTTCAGGCGGAGCATCTTTCACATATTCATCTTCTTGAGGGTCCACTTCGTTAAAGGATATGTAATAACATGGTGAAACATCCTCTAATATCTCATCATCCTCCATTAGAGATGAAGCACTATGCTCGCCTTGTGTAGTGCCATGATACGAAGAACCCATACCTTCTTCATCTTTGGCACATTCCCTAGTGTAGACCACAATATATGGCTTTGACTTTACTACTTCTTTACATTAAACCACAAGTTTCATTTGTCGCCTCGTTCTAAAAGGAACCAGACTTTTGAAATCCTTAGAGATCTGCTAGATTCTGGGCGAAACGGGTGTTTTTATGCTTTGATAATTTCTTCAGAACTTGTTACCCTTCTTTATTGTACCCAATCTCTCAACTAAGGAAGTCCTCACAATTGATTTTCTAAGTCGATCAATAGCAAATTTCTAAGCCAATCAGCAACAATATCCTTCCAAATATACCGCAATCAGATCCGATAGTACCCATTCTAGGTACGATGACTTTATCCCATCTAACATATTCACTCTAGTGACATGACACATCAATACATCCTAAAGCCACAACCCGTACAACCCGTGCACCAAATAGCAACATTCCAAATGTACTCAATCCTGAAATGCCTCAAACGAGAGAACTGTCCCGCCAGCTTAAGAAGTACCATCACAATGCATGCAAAGAGCCTAGCACACACCGTAGAACCAAACACACACGAATCCAACACAAAGGATCATATCTAAACATAACTTCGCTGCACTGTGTGATCCCATCCAAACATTACTAATATCATGTTTTGTCAAGCTTATGAGAGGTCAAAGTAAGGGTGTCTAACGGACCGGGTTTGACCCGTAACCGGACCGGCCCAGACCGGAAAAAATTGGAACCGGCCCGGCCCGGTACATAGGGGTCAGGTGTGGCTGGGTAGGAGGGGTAGAGGGGGTTGGTCCGTTTATTTTTTTTTAACGGTTAACTGGACCGGTCAAACCCGGTCCACGTGAACAGTACCGTGTACCGGTTTAACCGGCCCGGACCGGACCGGTACAACGGCTAAATATTTTTATGTTTTTGTTTTTTTAAATTTTTTGAAATTTGTGGGGCCCATTAACCATTGGCAACGGTCACCCCTGGCAGAGATCCGTTGCTTAACACCCTTAATTGCATTAATAGCCTCTTTTTTCTTTAAAATTTAACCCGTTTTCAATTTACAAAATTAACCTTCTCTAAAACTATAAATACCCCCTTCCTCTTCCTCATTTCTTTACTCATCTCTCAATTCTCATTTCTCAATTTCAATTCACAAATCTCAATTCAAGTTAAATCATGCCTCGTACTTCTAGAGTGCGCTCGTATGTTTGGCAACACTTTGAGGTGGTAGAAGAAAATGAAGAAGGTTAGAAAGTAAAGTGCAAGAACTGTGGTCAAGTCTTAAATCTTTGTTCAGGGTCTGTCACAGGTAGTTTAAGGAGGCATATAAAGTATTGTCTTGAGCGTCCTCCGGAAATTCGTATTTAAGATTTTAAGACAATTTGTGTTATTTTAAAATTATTAGACGTATTTATGCTTAATGTTTTAGTTTGTTAGATTAATATGAAGTATTATTAATTTATTATGCATGAAAATTTAGTTTTACTATTTTTTTGTTAATTTACTTTTTAAATGCAAACTTTAATTTTGTAATTTTGAAATAAATGTAGCACTTATAATTTATAAGTGCAATTTTTTCCCATCTTCCTTGTATTCTTTATGTTAATACTTTGTATTAATATAACTTACAATAGTTATACAAAATACAAAAAAAATATTAAAAAATACACTAAAACCGGCCCGGCCCGGCCCCCTCAACCCGTAACCCTTACGGTTCAATTTTTACCCGGATAAACCCGAACCCGTTAAATCCGGAAAGACCCAACCCGTAACCGGCCCGGACCATAACCCGTACGGGCCCAAAAATCCCAACCCAGCCCGACCCACCCGTTTAACACCCTTAGGTCAAAGGTATATTCTTTTGAATAAAAGTGCTTATTTTTTAGAGTTAAAATATTTAGCCAATCTTCTAGGAGAAACATAAGTGCTTTCGTAATTCATGGAGAAATAGAAATTGTTTTTAAAATGCTAAAAAATTATAGCTTCTTTTTAAAAGCAGAAGCAAAAATTATTTTTAATTTTCTCTCGGCAAAAACAGCATTGGCAAATATTTTTATATACCAAAATAATTCTACTTAGTTTAACCTAATATTTATGCTATTCTAATGTTATGGAGCTGTTACGTAACAGAATAAAAGATGACATTATTGGAAATTCTCCTAATGTATAAACCCAAGATTCGGCAGTTGCGCTGCACGATGACATTCAATATAAATTTATTACTACTCATATAGATTGTTACGGGGACCTATGTTAATATTTGACTATTTTTTAAAGACATTTGCAAGTATATATGAAGTTTTTGCTGAAATTTTCGGTGCCGGTAATCCCTCAACCTAGAGTGTAGGTCCGCCTCTGTGTATAAGTATTTTTTTTTTTGGGGTAGATTTTTAATATATAAAGATTTTTGGGGTGATTATGATGTTTTAATATATTTAAATCATCTTGAAAGACGACAACATAACAACAACAATCTAGTGAAAATCCCACAATGAGGTTTGGAATTTTCACTTTGTTGTTGTTGTTATTGTAGTCTTTCAAGATGATTTAAATATATCAAAACATCTTGAAAGACTACTTTTTAAACTTCTTTTTATATTTTATTTAAATAAATAAAACATAATTAGAATCTTTATAATAAATATTTAAAATTATTTATCTACTTAAATCGTATTAACTATGGAGGAGATTTTTTAATGTCCTTATTTGATTTAATATACAAAAGCACTTTTTCAAGGCCAAACACTAATTAACGTTCAAAAATAGTTTTGATTGATTAGCCAAACATAAATTGCTTTTCTTTAAAATTAAATTTTCGAAAAGGCTTTTTCAAAATAATTAAATTTTAGAAATTTGGCCAAATATTTATTTCTATCTGAGCTGACCCTAATAAAAGGACCAAAGTATAGCTATTTCAAGAGTTAAGGACCAAACCGTTATTTTCCTCAAACCGTAAACAACAAAAAAAAGTACAATTATAATATTATATAACCCCTCTGTTTTTTTTTGCTCACACTGTTTCCTTGAGGTACCATAGTAGACGAGGGACAATGGAGTTCAATACGACGCCGTCATATTACGGTAACAGAGCCAGCGAGAGAGGCGCCGGAGGGAAGTTCAAGAAACCGGCGGCGAGGAAACCTCCGGCAACTCCTTACGACCGTCCACAACTGAACCAAACCGGTGGTCGGACCGGCTGGTTATCGAAACTAGTTGATCCGGCTTACCGTATTATCTCCGGCAGTGCCACCAGAATCCTCCCATCGTTCATCTCCAATGCCATTGCCTCCACTCCTCCTCCTCCGCCTCCTGAAGAAATTCACGGTGACTTAGGTATGCGATTCTGTACTTTTATCGAACATGTTATGTGCAATATTACTATGTTAGGGTTTCTAAGAATTTGTCTTTGTTATGGTTCTTTTTTTTTTGGTAATTGTGTTATTATTTTGGTGAATTAAGGTTGCAAGAATCAACCTTTTTGGTTATTCTAGTTTCACCTGATCTGTTGTGGAATGTAACTCTTGTAGCTATGCTGTTATATGAAATATTACAAGAATGTATCTTTGTTATTTTTTCTTGCTGTTTGTGTTGAACGTATTGGTATTTGGTGAATTAGTTATGCATGAATTAACCTTTTTGGTTATTTTAGTTACACTTGATCTGTTATGAAATGTAACTATAGTAGGTATGAGATTTGTACTTTTGTTGTGTATCGAACATGTTATGTGCAATATAGGGTTTCCAAGAATGTATCTTTGTTATGTTTTTGGTAATGGTGATGAAATATGTTGGTCTCTTGGTGAATTGGTGTTGCAAAAATTGACCTTTTTGGTTATTTTGCTGCAATTGGTAAACTAGGAAGCAAGTTTTACCTTTTTGGTTACTCTGTTGCAATTTGAGTTTTTAATCTCAATTTTTTTTTGATGACCGAGAAATCTGTCTGGGGCCGATCCTTTGGACCAACCGCAGCCTTCGAAACTCGGTGGATAATGGGCCTGCCCCTCTACCCTTCTCAATTTGTTACAACTTTCCTGTTATTCCATGTAACTTTAGTAATTTTTTACTTACCTGTGTTGAAACTGATTTTGTTGGTAAAAGTAGGTTTATCGAATAAAATTGCAGGAGGGATTTCTCTCTGTGTGTGTGTCTTTTTTTTTTTTTTTTTT